ATATATATACATAACATACAATATATACTACAAGACAATATACAAGAGAATATATATACATAACATACAATATATACTACAAGAAAATATACAATGAAATATATATACATAACATTCTATACTAGTATACTATATATATATATATTAATATGCTTCATGTTGTACTTTGTTATTAATTTATTATGCATGACAATTTAGTGTTTTACTATTGTTTTGTTATTTTTCTTTTTCGTCAAGCACTTTAATAATTAGATTTCTACATATATACTACATATATATTTTTAATATAGCCATGATACTACAATAAATTGCCTTACAAAAAAAACAAAAAAAAACCACTAGGCCCGCGAAGCCCACGAGTCCGGCCCGTTTAGCCCAGGACCACATGGGCTTAGGCCCGTCACGGGCCGGTTCCACCAGGTGAGGCCACGAAGCCCGGGATCGCCAGGCCCGGGACCGCCAGAGCCCAGGCCCATGAAGCCCATGCCCACAAAGCCCGGCCCGTTTGGCCCACGAAGGCCCGGGCCCGGCCCAGAATACAGTGTTAGTCGGCATACACCACCAGCACTGTGTTAATATGACCTATTCTACTCAAGTAAATTTTTTATAAAATAGACCCAAGTAGAAGAGAGGTCATCTTTAATAAATAGTATATTTCCATTATTTGAGTCATCGTCTCAACTGCTATGCATTTTCAGCCCATGCATCCTCTACTAATTTCAACGGCAGAGAAATACTTGCCTGAGGGGATTATCTTACAGAACCGATCATAATAATTAGTCCATTACAAACAGGGTCTTTACTAAGGGATGTAACACAAGTGTCTAGAGAGATCATACATAATCAGTGTAGACTACAGCGAAGTTCATGATCCCTATATGAGGCAATGAACTCATGAATAACCTACTTGCCTTTTTCCTTTTGATCACTTCTTTTTTCTTTTTAATATGGAGGACAAGATAATGGGATGTCGTTGTGACCAATAACTCCAGTAACTCAAAGGCAAACTAAGTTTCCTAGAAAACTGGTGCCTATCGCCTTCCCTTTCCCAGTTTATGTTGTGGAAAACAACGGCAACATCCCTGGACAGAAATGTTGCCACTCTCAATGAAATTATGCAAGATGTCATTTTGTCCTTACAGATTCTTTATGGCATTTTTGGCCTTTCATATTGACAGTTCGTCATGAATTCTTAACAGAATAATGTTGAGGTTACAAAAAAGGAACACAAGGATTAAACCTGCCACAACAACATACTATATTGTCTTGGGCAAAAGATAATAGTAACAATTGTATGCAATTTGATTTTAGCATCTCTGTTTTATTTCTTTTTCCTTTTCTTTCCTTCTGTCAATAATACTTGGCACAACGCTTGCTAGTTCTTTTTTAAAGTTCCCATAAATTATTAGAGTATATAATGACAAGAGGCATCCAAAACATTATTGTTTTCAACAGCATACATGGATATATATATATATATATATTTATTCTCACAAACTAGAATAGCAGGAAGATCCCACAAAGCAGCCATATTCAAAGCCTCAAACAACTGCCCTTGATTAGCGGCACCATCACCATACATGGCAAAACTGACATGCTCCTCTTTCGAATACTTCTGTGCAAATGCCAATCCAATTCCTAAAGGAACTTGAGCACCAACAATACCATGACCTCCATAAAATCCACTATCCTTCTTATAAAAATGCATGGATCCTCCTTTACCTTTCGAACATCCATCTTTCCTTCCCATAAGTTCCGCAAATGACTCATATAACCCTCCGCCGCGGGCAAGGAAGATGCAATGGTCTCTATAAGCTGTAATTATACAATCCTTTTTGGTAATTGCGGCTCCCATGCCAATAGCGACGGCTTCTTGTCCGTCGTAGAGATGGCAGAATCCACGGATGAGTTTTGCTTTGTAGAGCGAATCCGCGGCGATCTCCATCCGCCGCATCTCCGCCATGTCCTTGAAAAAAGTCATGAGTTCGTTAGCGCTAGTTTCGACGGTGCGGGATGGAGGATCGATCTTGTGGCCGGTGAACGGGAGGCTGGTTTCTACCGTGATTGTGGCGGTCGAGTCCGACGATACGTGGCGCGTGGCGGACACCGCCGCCGTTAAAGGTTTCAAGAGATGATTGACGGTTCTTCGGCCTGTGGATAGCGCCATCTTCGATCTCTGTATGAGAGAATCTGGAGAGAGCGTTTGGTGAGTGCTAATGGAGAGGAGGAAAATGAAAATTTTGTTTGAGAGCAAGTGGCATTTATTTAAATACTAGTAAGAATTAAAGGAGGATTTTTTAGAGAAAAAAAAAAAAAGGAATCTGACTATTCGAATGTCCCATAAGCTGTTTTCTGTTAATTCTAGAGCAATTTTCTTTTTATCTTTTCGTTTTTCATTTCAACTAAAACGTTCAATTTTCTGTGGTATTCAATATTATTCCTATTATACAAATAACTAATACATTTCTTAGAATAACTGAACTTCAATTTTCTCTCAATTATTGATTTTTCTCACGCAGACATACATGAATGCGATAGTAGTAGTAAGTAGGAGTACTAACTATAGTACACAATGATGTGCTAAATAGATATTTTAATACTTTAGTATTATTTGGCTCTATATTCTTCAGCCTCTATATAAAGGAATAAACCTGAAAATATTGACACTGTTCATTCGTCTACATGGCTATTTACAATGTTGAAATTAATAAAATATTCTTTTTAAATCTTTTATGTATAAAAATAAATTTCTAATGTGTTTATGTGTAAAAAAAAGAAATTGAGGCATAAACTAAAAATAAATTTATACGTACCCAGAAAACCATTTGACCGCAATAGGGCTGCCCGAATATTGTTGACTATTGGAGTAAAATAGGTATACTCAATATTGTCAATAATCTTCTTAATGTTTGTACATTGATTAGACAACTTTGGTGTTCTAAAACAACAACAATTCAACTCCCTCTTCTTCTTTTTTCTTTTTTTCTATTTTGTTTGGGGGAGGAGGGGGTCATTTCTTTGTATTTTTGGAAACACACATTTAGCCCATAATTATCATAGCAATCTCAGGAATTCGCTTTCCCTAGAAAATTCACTCTTGCGATATGAAATAGTACTTCTTATTGACTAATAATTATTGGGATTTTTTCTTTCTATACCATATATGAAATTTTATTACTAAATATGTACATAGTATCTAAATTACCCGTCTAGTCCATATTTTTCCTACAATTCATGTACTATTCGTCTATTATGAATAATTAGGGCAGAATATTCCATAAAAAACGTGCTAAAAATCGGGAAAGAATCTTGGGATAGATTGATTCTACATTAACTTCAAGTTTTGAAAAGGAAAGGAGATTTCACATCTGAGTAATTTACTCTTAGAATACAATTCGAATTTTTTTTTTTAAAAAAAAAATACGACCAGCTTCAACAAACTACGAACAGCTTCAACAAACTGAATTCAAATTGTAGAATTCAAATCTTCGAGATTCAACAACTTAACATTGGTATATTTTGTTCTTCGTTCGCTTTCAGAAAACAAATTGGCGATCATAAATCTGTTCTTCATCTTTTTTTCTCTCAATCTAGAAATACAAAAAAACAAAAAAAAAATTAGAATAATACATCAGCAATCATGTCCAAAATCGCAATCATGCTACAATTGAATGGGAATTGGGATAACTATGGCAGATTTAGAGATTTTGAAGTTGATGCCATTGTGGTAGATGAGAATGCAAGTTACAGTATTCTGATTTCTACAATTGCAAAACAACTATCGATTGATACTTCAGAAAAAATTGTAGAAATCAAATACATGGTGAACGACAATTGTCCCCCAATGGAGATTAGGAATGATATGGGGGTTCGTGTGTATATGGAGTTCAAAAAGGAGAATAAAAACTTAGGTTCATATCCGTTATGTATAAGTGTACGAGATTTCAATATGAAATTGGCAATCACCAACGATAACACAAGTGAGGGTTTGTATAGTTGTAAATTGCATAGATTTATGTTTTTACGGTATTATCTTCAAAATTACTACAGATACCTACAATTAAACTACAAATCTGTTTAATGATATAATAAAGCAATGTTGTTTTCAAAATTACCTACAAAGTTAATACATTTATAAAACAACATAAACTACAATTATGATTAGAAATTGTTGATTTCAAAATGTTGTCTTCAAATAAAACTACAATTGCAATAATTATAGTAGAAATTAACTATAATGGCGACATCCTAAAAATGGATGACTACAAAATTTTCACTATATCTATAAATTCTCTACAGATATTCTACAAAATTATAAGTACATTGTTTATCTTTATTTTGATGCATGTTCATCTAGATCCATAAAGTTACTTGATATGCCATCATATCCAGCTATAGAGGAATATCAAAGTGAAATAATAACAGAATCTACGCAAACTACTATTGAAGAAGGACAAGTGTATCAGGACAAACAAATTGTAGCTACTGCAATGAAGCACTTTTCTGTGATGCACAAGTTCCAGTTCAGAGTTAAAAGATCTAGTCGTAGAAGGTATGGAGATATTTGTGGAGAAAAGACCAATAAAAGCAGTGTTATACTCAAGATATGTGTAATGTAAACATTGTAGATAAATTGTAGTTACATTGTAGTTTATATTAGTTTATGTTAAAACAGTCCGTTTGTTGCATCTACATTTATAATCTGTATTAAATATTGTATTTTTTTTGTAGCTACTGGCTTGTATGCGTTGGTGAAAACTGTAAATGGCACTTCAAGGCAACGTCAATTAATAATTCTGCAATGTTCAAGATAAGGAGTTTCAACCGACAACACACATGCTCCATAATGGACGAAACATTCATACATCGCAAACATACTGCAGATGTAGTTGGTAGCATGGTAATTCCAAAGTATTGTGATCCTAAGACTGTTTACACACCAAAGGACATACAGACTGACATGTTATCCTAACACGGAGTGAACCTAAGCTACATGCAAGCATGGAGAGCAAAGGAAAAGGCTTTACAGTTTTTGAGAGGGAATCCGACTGACTCCTACAGCAAATTACCCAAATATTTTTATATTCTTGAGGAGACTTATCCTAGTTCGGTTGTTAAATTAAAAAAGACAGCAGATGAATGCTTCTTATACGCATTTGTTACTCTTTGTACATCAATAAGTGGTTGTCAACATTGTAGGCCAGTAGTAGTGGTTGATGGGACATTCTTAAAGTCAGCCTATAGGGGGATTATGCTGACAGCAAGCACCAAGGATGCAGCAGGTAAAAAGTGTAAAAATTTTGTAGTCATTTTGTAGTCAGTCTATAAAATGTAGATATACTGTAGTAATTTGTAGTTATTTTGTAGCTATTACATGTAATGTAGATAAAATGAATATATTATGAATATGTATTGTAGTTGTTATGTATTTATATTTTTATATAAATTTTCAAAGCTGCCAATTAATATTTTATGAATTAATAATGTAGGAACAATATTGCCCTTGGCATATGCTGTGGTTGATTCTGAAAACGACGCATCTTGGAAGTGGTTCTTTGAGCAATTCAAGCAGGCATATGGTGAAAGACCTTCAATGTGTGTTGTTTCAGATAGGAATGAGAGTATACTGAAGGCAACATCAATTGTCTATCCGGGCATCCCACACTACTCTTGCATGTGGCATATTTGGACAAATATAAGGTCAAAATTCAAGAAGGGTCATCTACAATTGCATGAATTGTACTTTGCTACAACACGGTCATACACTCTGGATGAATTTAATGAAAAGATGTCGAAGATTGAAGAGGTAGACCCTCGTGTGAAATCTTACCTATATGATATTGGTTATCATAGATGGTCAAGAGTACATACAACAGTGAATAGAACGTGGACAATGACATCAAATATTGCAGAGTCGTTGAACGCAGTAACAAAAGATGCAAGAGAGCTGCCGATATTTGACCTTTTAGAGTATATGCGGACACTGCTAGAACATTGGACCAATGAGAAGTTATTGAAGGCGAAGGGTACTTTCACATTTCTTGGGGCCAAATTCAACAAAGAATTAGATGACAACAGAACATTATCTCAGAAGCTTAGGGTAAGATCTGTTTATTTGGTGCAGAAAAAATGAATTACTTAATATGCAGTGTTTCCAGATTGTATATAAATTGTAGTCAAATTGTAGATAATTGTAGATTGTATATAAGGTGTAGAATATTTGTAGATGATTTGTATATAAGTTGTAGATAATAAATTTTTATGATTGAGATAATATTTTTTCTGTTTGTTCTGCAATTGTAGGTGAAGGCTTCAACAGATCATATACATACTGTGTTAGATGGTGTGAAGCGGTACATTGTATGTCTAGAAAATAAGAAATGTAGTTGTGGCCTATTCCAACTTGAAGAACTTCCATGTGTGCATGCTTTGGCAGCATTAAGGCACATAAATGAAACATATGAAAACTATTGCTCTCTGTATTACACAAGGGAGAGCCTTCGGCGTACGTATGAAATGCCAGTAAATCCTCTTCCTGATGAAAGCAAATGGAATGTGCCACAACATATTTTGGATGAGGTAGTAAAACCACCGACGGGAGATAAAAGACAGCCAGGGAGACCTCAAAAGGAAAGATATAAAACCTATGATGAAATAAAGTCAAAGAAGTACAAGGTGTCATGTGGAAATTGTGGAGGTGAAGGGCATAACAAAAGATCTTGCAAGAATGCGCCCAAGAAAAAATGAATATCATGTAGTTAGAATAGTTATTCAAAATAACCGTTAGTGAGTTAAAGTTAGCAAATTTTTTGTTTAATAGTTTAAGTTTTTAAATATCATTATGAAGTAGACTAAAATTTGTTTATGTTTGTTTAATATGCTACATTTGGTTTTAAAGATCAGGCATCTAAATTTGTCTTTGATAGAGTGTAATTAAATTTAAATATTTATTATCTACAATACAACTGATATTAAAAAAAATAACTTTAATGTAAAGTGTTTCCAGATTGTAGGTAAAATATAAGTTAACTGAATTTAAATTGTAGTCTTAGTAATAATTTGTAGATGATTTGTAGATAAATTGTGGGTAATATATTTCTATGATTGGAGTAATTATTTATTTTGTTTGTTGTGTAATTAACTTCATTTGACAATTATATACAGATATTACCTAGAACTTGAAGGTATTTCATAAAAATTATGAACATGTATAACTATAAAATTATATACAATTACTACATTGAGTGTTGCCAAAATGTAGA